ATGCTCTGTGGTCAAACCTTCGTCACATGCTCTGCGGTCAAACCTTCGTCACATGCTCTGCGGTCAAACCTTTGTCACATGCTCTGTGGTCAAACCTTCGTCACATGCTCTGCGGTCAAACCTTTGTCACATGCTCTGTGGTCAAACCTTCGTCACATGCTCTGCGGTCAAACCTTCATCACATGCTCTGTGGTCAAACCTTCGTCACATGCTCTGCGGTCAAACCTTCGTCACATGCTCTGTGGTCAAACCTTCGTCACATGCTCTGTGGTCAAACCTTCGTCACATGCTCTGCGGTCAAACCTTTGGTAATCATTGTGAAGTCAGGACTTTAGGAAAACCGTCGTGTTCTCAGGATTTTATTTATTTGTGAAGACCAAAGAAAAGCATCACTTTACGTAACGTGATGCTTTTAACTGATACATTTAACATCTTCACAATCCTGACGCTGCAGTTTGAAGCTCCAGCTGGATGATTAATTATCCCTGAGAGGAATCGTCTCAGACTTTATATTTTATTCATAATCATTATCAAGAAACATTTATTTTCTTGATTAATCACTTTTGTAGGGTTTAACTCGTTGGTAACAGAAAACTAAATGCTTGAAGTATTTTTCTTTCAGCTGTTCCCGTCTTCAGGGGTCACCACGGCAGGAGAGCTCACATCACAGTTTGACGCCAGAGGCTCTTCCTGACGCAGCCTGGACTCAAACCTGCGGCCTCGGGAACACGAGACCGCAGCACTGACCACAGAACTACAGCGCCCACAATGACAGTTAAGAGTCATTTCTTTAAATATTTTGCCGAAAATTCGGACAGTCACCCAACATATTTTCTCTAAAGCACAACAACAACAATAATAATAATAACAATAATAATAATAATAATAATAATAATAATAATTCATTCAACCTTTATTTCTACAGGTTAGTCCCATTGAGCCTCGGGGACTCATTTACAAGAGAGACCTGACTTCTTTAACAAAGAGTGATAATGATACAGTAAATATATTTAGTACCTTTTGTAACGATCCAGTTCCACCTTGTCTTGTTAAAGAGGTTGTTTCCAGTCTGGCTCATGATGCGTCCAGTATATAAATGGCTGCTTGGCAAAGCGACAGGTACAAGAGAGTTACGTGGACTTGTGACGCTGCTGATTAAAAACTTGGCCTGGACGCCACAGTAATGACAAATTTTAGGCCAATTTCAAAACTGACCTTCCTGTCTAAGATCGTGTTGAAAGATTTTAATGATGTTCTTTTAGCCACAGATCTGGTCACTGTGCCGTTTTAATGCTGTTGGACCTAACTGCTTCCTTCGACACAGTGGACCATCAGATCCTCGTATCACGTGGAGAACTGGGTGGGCCTTCAGGATTCTGCTCTGTGGTGGTTCAGATCCTATTGAACAGAGAGGAGCTTTTGTGTTTGAGCTGCTGAGTCTTCTGTAGCAACTCTTACATGTGAAGTACCTCAGGGCTCTATACTTGCCCCCTTCTGTTTTCTTATTATTTGGTACATGATATGGTATTCCATGGGATCACCATTTTTATGCTGATGACAGCCAAATGTATGTTCTATTTAAACATGAAAAGCAATACTCCATGAACCAACTCCTGGAATGCAAAAGTCAGAGCATGGATGTCACAGAATTTTTTACATTTTAATGAGCAAAAGAGGCAGCACGGTGGCGCAACTGGTAGAGCTGCTGCCTCTTAGCGAGCAGGTCCCTGGTTCAAACCCCGGTCCGGGGGCCTTTCTGGGTGGAGTTTGCATGTTCTCTCTGTGCATGCATGGGTTTTCTCCGGGTGCTCCGGTTTCCTCCCACAGACCAAAAACATGCATGTTAGGCTGATTGGTAACTCTAAATTGTCCCTAGGTGTGAGTGAGAGAGTGAATGTTTGTTTGTCTCGTTTGTCTCTATGTGGCCCTGTGATGGACTTGCGACCCGTCCAGGGTGTACCCCGCCCCTCGCACAGTGATTGCTGGACATGGGCACCAGCGACCCCCGTGACCCAAAATGGATTAAGTGGGTAAAGATAATGGATGGATGGATGGATGGATGATCAAAAGACCGAGGTCTTGTTGTTTAAGCCCAGTGATGATTTCAAAGTCCGTGCTGATCTGGGTTCAATGCAACATCTGACTGAGACAGCAACTAACATGGGTGTGAGGCTGGACAATGATTTTAAACTTGATGCTCAGTTTAAACCAGTGACCAAGTCCAGCTTTTATCACTTGAGACAACTGGCCAAGGTCAAACTATTAATTTCTCTGTTGGAAGAGATTCTTTACGTTACGGCGTTCTCTGATTAACACCTGCTAAGATTAAATTTACTCTCAGTGGCTGTGTCGGCATTTAACTCAAATGTGAGTTAAAATGGTCAGAGAGAACTTTGAGTATTTATTACTAAGTTATTAATCTCGATGCCATACATCAGAACCAGGTCAAGAGTGTGATGATGAGAATGAGTACGGTAGATGATCGGACGTTTTGGGTAAAACCAACTGACTCTATTAAATTATGAAAGACTATGCTTAAGCTATCACTTTCAACATCCATTATCTTTTACCTGCTTCTTCCATTTTGGGTCGCTGGTGCCCATGTCCAGCAATCACTGTGCGAGGGGCAGGGGACACCCTGGACAGGTCTCCTGTCCATCACAGGGACACATAGAGACAAACGAGATGAACAACCATTCACTCTCTCACTCACACCTAGAGACAATTTAGAGTTAATCAGCCTAACATGCATGTTTTGGACTGTGGGAGGAAACCAGAGTACCCGGAGAAAACCCATGCATGCACGGAGAGAACATGCAAACTCCACCCAGGAAGGCCCCCGGACTGGGATTTGAACCAGGGACCTGCTCGCTGAGAGGCAGCAGCTCTACCAGTTGCACCACCTTCACTTTCAACATCTACATGAATATTGAAATCACCCGTGATTATGACTTTATCAGTATTTAATAATAAGTCAGTCAAGAATTCTGAGAATTCAGACAAAAACCGAGAACAGGCGCCTGGTGGACGATGTATAAAAACCAGTGAGAGTGGTTGTTTCGTTTTCCATTTAGGATGAGAAAGACTGAGGGACAGTGACTCAAAAGAATTATAACTAATAATTGGTTTAGTATTAATCAATAGTCCTGACTGAAAAATAGAAGCTACACCTCCGCCTCGACCTGTTGTTCTAGGAACATGAACATTTAAATAATTAACGAGTTAACCATCAACAAGCTAGTCACCAGCTAGTCTCCACCTGTCCAAACTCAATGATGTGCTAAAGGTTGCACATTCTGACGTTAGATGCTGTTTGTGTATAACCTCAGATTTTTCTTCTAAGCAACAAAAAGAGCATTTAAAGGCCTATGAAATATTGTTTGCATAAACAACTATGAACTTTTGAAGATTGAAGTCGTTATAAGACAACAGTGAAGTTAGATCAGAATTAAATCATTTTTCCAAACCAAGGTCATTCAAAGAGCTATCTACAGCAGGTAAGATATAGTTTCATTTCATACATAACCCTCAGTTTAAGCAACAGTTGTAGATCATATTTTCGGTTGTGGGGATGCTCACATCAAACAAACAAACAGCCCAACAGTCAGTCAGACAGTCTGACTGAATCGATCAAATTAAATTGAGTTCAGATTTTTCTGAGTTCAGCCGAGGTCACCTCTGATTGATGTCGGTAACAAAAGGCTTCTTCAACATAATCTACCCGATTTACTCGCCCTTGTTCCTGCTCATTCCCAGCTGTCCTGTTCTCTCTGCACTGGGGTGGGGGTGGGGGGGGGGTAGGGCTGGCCAGCTGTCATGTGTGAGCTGTGATGTTACACGGTGGAGCGGCGGTCTCTCAGGCCTCTATAATCCACTGGACTGTTGCATTGAAAGCATGAGACGACTCTTTGCTCGACTGCAGTTGTTCTGTGTTGCATCACCCTCTGAGGACGCTATAAATAACAGAAAGAGCTGAGAGGGAGGGATGGATGGGAGATTTGGGGCAGCATTGTTAAATGCCAGGAACAACAAATAATAAGCTGCAGGGTCCCTTCGAAGCCGCAGCTTTGAGTCAAAAACCTCCAACTTGTCTTGTTTTTTTTCAACTGCAGCATGAAATGTGATGCATAAAGAACCCACAGCACGGCAGGAGCCGACGACGTGAGGAGAAACGAGCTGAAGGGAATATTCTGACATGTCACTCAACGACATGTCAAGTTTCTTTCTGTGGAAATAAGAACATGCTGGATTGTCACGTCACGCTCAGGAGCAGGTGTGTTGACAGTAAGCCGGTGGGAAGCAGCAGAATGAGGCTGAAATCAAGTTAGTCATCACTTTCATGTGCTTCCAGGGGTTAGTGCACGACTGCAGAGGTCTTATAGCTGAGAGGAGGCGACTGGCTGGAAGGCATCTTCAGAGGAAAACATGTTTTTATGAGCGAGTCAACAAAGGAGCTGTGTCCTGACGTCTCCTGAACACAACCAGCACATCCTGACTCACTAAATGACGCAAAGCAACATGCTTCACACGCTTCACGACTAAATGATGCATCTGTTCCCAACACCCACAGTGACACAGCAGCAGAGTGGGAGGGTGCACGACTGCACACGCAGCAACACTTTCATTTGTGACGCTTTGAATTCCTAATAAATAAAATGAGCATTTTTCTAATGGAAGCCATTTGACAACAAATGAAAGCTTTATGCACAAAACATGAATCATTTGCTCACAGGATGGACTTCATGGCAGCAGGACCTTCTCCTAAAAAGACGGAGATGTCTTCAAACACGTCCTGGATGACTGAGAATCTCTGTGGATTCCTGAAGACACCAGGAGATGAGATGGACACATCATGTGCATCATTCCTCAAACGCCAACCTTCTTTGGAGAAAGTGCCTTTAAAGTGTCCTGACGACTGCTCAGTGGTCCAGGCCCTTCATCTCACCGGGTTGAGTCAGGCTCTCTGGACCTCTGGACCTCTGGACCTCTGGACCTCTGGACGGGTTCTTCTTTGGTGAAATGTCTGGTCTGTTCCTACCTGTAAAGTGTCCACACCCATGTCCTGGTGTGACTTGTCCTAAACAGG